ATCCTTTACAAAGTATATCTGCAACACCATTATCACACTTAAAAGAAATTAACAGAAATTAACAGAAATTCCTTAACAGCATCCAGTATCTAGTCAGGATTTACTTTCCCTAATCCACACTTAGTTTTAATAATTATGTTCCTACTCGTGGGGGTGGGGAGGTGAACATTTGACAGAAGACTATCATTTCAGCCAATATAAGAATTTGTGGTCTCCACTCTGTAACACTGATGGTTCTATACGTGTGTGTTTCGAACAGAATCTAAGGAGATTACATTTTTTTCAGGGCAGGGACTGACATTACTGTCTTTTTTGCACCTTAGTATGGCAGAGAGGAAAAAGCACTGATCTCAACTAATTAGCTGTGTGACTTTGGGAAGGTTATTCAACCTCTCTAAGAAAAAATAGGAATAAAAATACCCATCTCCCAAGAACTGTGAGGTTTAAAGAAAAGGTGAACATGCTCGGCATGTAGAAGGTTCTTAGTAAATGCTCATCTTTACTCTGTTTCAACCACCTTTCAGTTCTTCACATGGAGTGAAGGCCACCATCAGTGAGGGCTGCAGCCAGGCCATCAGCCTGGAGTCCACCTGCCCCCAGCTCTGTGCTGTGTCTGTAGTGTTGGTGGTCCCCACTCTGAGCACCCAGGGGTTGCTTGTTTACTTGGGCCACTCATTAAACTGACAGGTGAGGCTTGCGCAGTCCTCAGGAGACTGAGGGAAGAGAGGAGCTGGGCAGGAGTAGAGATTTGCTTTTGGCCCACTTCACCAGTTTCTGGGTTCCTTGACTCAAATGAAATAATAATTTTGTAGCTGGCCTTTATTGAGTGTTTATGACATGCAAGCTTTGTGCTAAGTGCTCTACCGCAGTACCCCTTTTAGTATTCACAACCCTGTGAGATGGGTACTACTATCCGTATTTTGTAGGTGATGAAACTGAGACTTAAATTAGGTAACTTGTGACTTACACAGAGACACTGTTACTCAAACCAGGTTTTTCTAATACTTAAATCCAAGTTCTTGGCCACACACTCACTATTTTGCTAATGGTGCTAAAGAAGCCACCTTCTCAAGCCTGTAATCCCAGCACTTTGGGAGGCCGAGGTGGGTGGATCACGAGGTCAGGAGATCGAGACCATCCTGGCTAACATGGTGAAACCCCGTCTCTACTAAAAATACAAAAAACTAGCCCGGCGTGGTGGCGGGCGCCTGTAGTCCCAGCTACTCGGAGGCTGAGGCAGGAGAATGGCGTGAACCTGGGAGGCGGAGCTTGCAGTGAGCCGAGATCGCGCCACTGCACTCCAGCCTGGGTGACACAGCGCGAGACTCCGTCTCAAAAAAAAAAAAAAAAAGAAGTCACCTTCTAGGGTTCATTCTCACCCAGATTTATAGAGATGACTTCTCCCCAGGCTCAGCATGCACCCTAAACTCCAGCCAGCCATTATGCCAATGTACATCCTTGGACAGGGTGAGAAAGAGTGAGGGGATCAGAACAGCCTACACCCACAAGGGAAAACCGGACCTAAAGGCATCTCCTTACATCAAGGATGTGCACACAAACACACACTTCTATTCCTTGACTCGGGCTCTGTCCGCAGAGCCAAGTGTGGGCCTGGCAGGGGTGAGGGAGGTGAGGCAGGGGAGGAGACGCTTGTCATGGTATTAACTGACTGAAGAAAAAGTCTATGATAGTGAAATTTCCAGGAACATGAGAATCCTTCACACTCCTGCTTGTGATTAGACTGCTTTGTTTGACTTCAGCCTCGGGAGTACCTTTCTGAGCACCGGAAGCTATGGATACATGGTAGTCATGGGCCCAGAGCCTGTGACTGGGAGTAGGGAAGAGCAGAGCCAATGATTTCCAGGGGTGCCAAAGCCTCTGGCTGCATTTCATTTCTTTCTGTATGATTCCTGATAGCTGTGTTGAGGTATGGGGCCCTCACAGTAAGTGCTACCACTTTTTCTGTAAATGTTTTGGTTTTATTCATCATTATCATAGCTGCACCCGGGGCAACCACTGTGTATACAGGACAATAAATTCCTGAGCCTCCTGGCTTCTCTCCCTCCTCCCTCCTTCTCCCTCTTCTTGGCCAAGGCTTAAACATAGGTGGTGGAGGAGGGGCGGCAGGGACAGAGACAGAGTTCCAGCTCCTCTTTGCCTCACCCCCTTCCCTCCTCCTCCCTTCTTTGCCATTGCTACACTAAAGGAGTCAGGGCTGTGTCCACCAATATGCTCTGTGACTAGCAGTCAACACAATTTCATACCCAGCCACACATGCCACACGCATTTTAGATGATAATGTTCCCATTCTCAGTTCCTCTGTGAGAATGTGCGTGTCATTTGAAGCTCTGTGCCTCAGTTTCCATAGAAGTAAAACAAAAAGCAAGAATTGAGACTGATCTTTTTCTTGCAAGAATTCACATGTAACGGATAATGTACAAGAGATGTGGCTGAGTAAGAGAATTAGAACAAAGACTTGAACAATTTTCCTATGCAACACTCTTTCCCATGGACAAAGGGATCCCACAAAGTCATACTCCATTAGAGGCTAGTTTGTCCAAGGAAAACTCACATATAAATGCAAAAGTGACCAAAAAAAAAAAAAAAAAAATTCCTCCAGCCAACTCAGGAAAACAGAAAGCAAGTTGTGCTTAAGCCCATCGTAGGTGTGAGCAGATGCTTCCAAAACCATCACCCCTTTTCCTTCCTCTATAAATATCTTCATCCCCCAGCAAAGTGGCCTCTTTAGCTGGTAAAAGAGTTAATTACCAAAAAGAGAGCATGCTCCCTCCAGAGGCTTCTCTGGAGAGTGCAAAAACAAAACAAAACCAAAAACCAACTAACCACAACAAAAAACATCTTCCCTGGGAATAAATTTGAAGCTATCGGTTCTTTAAGCCACATTTCCCAGGCACAGACTCCTTCCTGGTCCCTGTCTCCCTTTGCTTTGGGAAACTCATTTACTCCCAAGCCTCCTGAAATGATCCATGTGCCGTGAGATGCCCATAGGGGTGGGGACTTGAAAATGAGTTTTTCTCCCACAAAAAAAAGGCTTAGCTTTGTCTTTTTGGGTGGCTGACAGGAGACATAAAGTATCACTCTATCTTTTTACGCCTCCTCACAATAGGATGGAATGAGTGGAGAAAAACAAAGGTATTGTGGGACCAGGATGGAGTCAACTTGACAATGGACTCTTCAAGGACACCTTCCAGCTCCCATTCTACTAGTAGCTCTATTTGATTTTGTGGGATGTTGTGTTCCTCCAACATATCCAACTTCTGCTTATGAAACAGAAATTAGGAGTAAGAAATTTGTACTGCTAGTTCAGTGGATAATCATCAGTTCTAAAGCATTAAAATCCTTTGCCAACAAGAACATTTCTTCTAAGGAAGGAAGCATCCTAATCATGAAGCCAGGGTCTCCAGCCCTCCCCTGTCTCCCTCCTCCCCTCCAGGGCTGTGCTCACTCACATCCATGGACATCTCCCTCTGCATAAGTTTCTTGGTCTCCTTTTCACAGAAGTTGAGCATGGCCTCCCGGTTGTACACACCCGTGGACTGTTTCTCTGTCTGGTTTCTCTGCCGCAGCCCCACGGGAACACTCCCATCAGGGTCCACCACGTCCAGCTCCTTCTCCAACTCCTCCATCTCCTCGGGAGACAGGGTCTCCAGCAGGCTGTCGATGTCGGGGTCTTCACTCACCTGCCGGCGATATTTGGCTACCCTAGACATCTTGGCAAAATGCGCTGTGGCTGCCAGGGGCTATCAGAGTCCTGGTGGGCAGGGAAGGGAGGGGGTGAGCTGATCTGGATGCAGGGAGTGGGCTGAGGAGCAAACCCCCGCTGGTCGAGGACTGCAGCTCCTTGGCCCTTCTGTGCTACAGGTGCTAAAGTATTCACTGGAAGCAGCAGCCTCCCTGCAGCCCAGGGCTAGTGGACCCCGGCTGGACTAATCAGCGGCCAATAAGACCCAACAACTGCCGGGCCCAGAGAGGAGAAGCCAATCCCTAAGCTGGGGGCGGTCCTACCTCGCTGTCAGAGCTGTTTGAAACTTGAGGACATTCCAGGGAATCTTGGAGCGCTGCGTGACCAAATTTAGTACAGAGCAGTTTAGCCTTTTAAAGACAAGGGGCCATGCAATGAGAAAAAGATACAAAAATGCGTAGGCTGGCAGAAGCAGATCACAGCCATGGAGAGCCAGACAAGCAGGGATGAGGCCATGAGGGCCGGTGAACTGCTGGACCCAGGCACGTTCAAGAGCGTATTTTACTACTCCATCACCATGTGGACATATCGCTGTGGTCAATGTGTGCTTCATGGACTTCCTTCTACAGTATTTGGTAATGTGCTGGGGGACTCCCAGGTGTATACAGCTCCAGGAAAGGCTAGATTCAAGATGAGGAGCTGTTACTCCTAACCCCCTGCCTACCCATTTTCTTTCTACCCAGGTTCTGCCAAGGAGGACCTGAAGGCTGAGCATCAGAGGCTCCAGGCTCCTTTGGCCACTTCTTAAGAGACAGACAGAAAGACAAAGTTAGAGATAGAGATAGCTAGGCAGGAGAGAGAGAGAGAGAGAGAGAGAGAGAGAGAGAATAAATCCTCACTGTGTACCAAAACTGAAAACTGGCAGGTTGTTTGGGAAAGAGAGGAGGATCTGCAGAAGTTGGGAAACTCTTGAAGGGCTGTCACTTTCCATGAAGTTCCAAGGCTCTTGGGAAGAGGGTTCAAACCTCCCCCTGTTGTCATCTGTTTCTTCCTCTGCTGGGCATCTGCAGACAGACCTCCTTTGGGAGCACAGAGGCAGGTCACCACCCACGTATAAATCCAGAGCACAATTTAGTATGTCTTCAGGGAAGCAGAATTCTGGGCCATCGGGAGAGATACGATTGCAACAGGTCTGGCATGTTTCATAGAAGGGCTTTCCACTGCTCATCCATCACGCTGCCCTGCACAAGTCACAGAGACATTCAATCCCCTGCCCCCCTCCCTCCTGCCACAAAATCCCTTCTAGAAGCTCTGGTGTAACCCATCAGGGTAGATGCTTCGATCTTTCCTGGCGTCTTTCCATCCTAAGCCAGAGAGAGACAGTCACTTGATCAGCATTTGCTGAGGCCAGGGATCGTCTGGGACTAAAACTTGGCTGTGCCATTTAATGTCCACTAGTTCAACTTTAGGTTAAGGCTGAAGAAGGGAATGGTGCCCACTGCAGGGACTGAAGGACAGAGGGAAGGCAGGCAGACTTGATGGGAAAAGTGGAAGAAGACTTTAGGGAAACCTGGGGGTTGTCACTTTAAGAGTCAATAGCCAGTTTATTGGTCAGTCCATAAGTATATATTTATTGAGTGATTTATTGAGTGCCTATTATTCAGGCATTGCTCTAAGAGCAAGAGATATAACTAAAGATACAAAATAAGGCCAGGTGCAGTGGCTCATGCCTGTAATCGCAGCACATTGGGAGGCCAAGGTAGGAGGATTGCTTGAGTCCAGGAGTTCAAGAACAGGCTGGGCAACATAATGAGACCCCCATTTCTCAAAAAAAAAAAAAATTAGCCTGATGTGGTGGTGAGCATCTGTTGTCCCAGCTACTCAGGGGGCTGAGGTGGGAGGATTGCCTGAGGTCAGAAGGTTGAGGCTGCAGTGAGCTGTGATCATGCTACTGTACCCCAGCCTGGACAACAGAGCAAAAACAAGAAAGAAAAGAAAAAAAAGAAAGAAAAGAAAGAAAAGAAAGAAAGAAAGGAAGAAAGGAAGAAAGGAAGAAAGAAAGGAAAGAAAGAAAGAAAGGAAGAAAGAAAGAAAGGAAGAAGGAAAGAAAGAAAGAAGGAAAGAAGGAAAGAAAGAAAGAAGGAAAGAAGGAAAGAAAGAAGGAAGGAAAGAAAGAAGGAAGGAAAGAAAGAAGGAAGGAAAGAAAGAAGGAAGGAAAGAAAGAAGGAAGGAAGGAAAGAAAGAAAGAAAGAAAGAAAGAAAAGAAAGGAAAGAAGGAAGGAAGGAGAGAGGGAAGGAGGGAGGGTGGGAGGCAAGCACAGGGGCTCTGGGAAAACACAACAAGAGGAGACCGGATAGAAGTATGATTTAATAGTGAAGAGCTTGGGCCTTTGAAGCCAATAGACCAGCATTTGGTTCTCATATTGCTACTTACAGGCCATGTGACTTGGGCAAGCTACCTTCTTTTCTGAGACTTGAGTTCATCATCTGTAAAATAACGACAACTGTTATACCAACCTTGTATAATTGTTGTGAATATTAAATTAGGTCCTACACATGAAAACATTCATTGATATACCTAGTACATCGTAAACACCATATTTATTAGTAATTATTATAATTATTTATTTATTTATTTTGAAATGGAGTTTCACTCTTATTGCCCAGGATGGAGTGCAATGGCGCGATCTTGGCTCACTGCAATCTCTGCCTCCCAGGTTCAAACAATTCTCCTGGCTCAGCCTCTCAAGTAGCTAGGATTACAGGCATGCGCCACCACACCCAGCTAATTTTTGTATTTTTAGTAGAGATGGGGTTTCACCATGTTAGTCAGGCTGGTATCGAACTCCCGACCTCAGGTGATCTGCCGGCCTCGGCCTCCCAAAGTGCTGGGATTACAGGCATGAGCCACCACACCTGACTATAATTATTTATTTACTCTTATCCTGGGTTCTTTTCTTTCCATCCCACCTTTTCTCTCATCTTTTTCTTTCTCTCAACAGTAAACACCCTCTAAACACACACACACACACACACACACATACACACACTTTCTCACCTGGTTCTCATTCATTCATTCATTCATTCAAACATTTATTCAGATACTACTATTTATATATAGCATCCTGCCAGGCACTATAACATTGTCATTACAACATTGTTATTCTCTTAAACATGTAAAATTCAATGGAGTAAAGAAAAAAAAAACACTACACTGTAAGGCAAAGTGAAGCAAGCTAGAGAGGTACAAGGAGTCTTGTAGAGAGGTACAACTGTTAAAAACCCAGTGGAAGACACACTGATTTTACGGGGAGGAGTCAGGGTGGTCATCTCAGAGGGCATAACAAAGGGTTTGAGCCGCGCTGGAGTGGGCTTTTAGTTAGGTACGTTGAGTGGACGTGGCACTCCCTATGCCCACCCCCTCCCCCGGTACCCCCTTTGGGTCAGCTGGCCTTCACCCTCAGTGTTGCCCAGAAAAAAGCATCATCTTCTGGGGTCCCTGGCTCTGGGACCTCAGCCAACCTCTAGTCTCCCAGTCAGCTGAAAGCAATTCTCTTTCTAGTTTCCAAGAACTCTTTCTCAGGCTTTTTGCCAAAAATATTCACTGTTCCCTGAGGAGGAGTCAGGGCCTAAAAGCAAATCATTACCTTCAGCCCCAGGGTTAGCCCTGTACCATCTGGTTTCAGTGGTTTTCTTTTTTGGGCCCAGTGGTCTCTGGTCCAGGAAGACACTCAAAAAAATAAATCCATAGCTTTCAAATGTAAAGGGCAGGCCTCACGCCTCCTAACCAAAGGTTTCTACACATTAACCCCGGTATCTTCTCTGTGTCAGGCCTCCCAATTCCAAATCGCTGGTTCCTCTGACATGACTCAGTCAGAAGCTTTTTACTCCCTGGAGCCCCAAGGGCTCCCTGAGACTGCTCACAGACTCCAAAAGTCTTCCCTTGAGAGGCATCACGGCTGGAGCTGGAGGATTTGGGAACCCAGAGGCCAGGGAGTACAGCCACCTCCAGCCCCTACAATGAGAGGCCACTGCCCGAACCAATCTGTAGGGAGCACTGGTCATTCCAGCTCAGAATCCAATTCCACCTCAAACAAATCCATCCCGGATATCAGGGGACCCTGGCGTGGTCTATTCCCCAGAGGAAAACAAGCACTGTTGTGGCTAGAGGGATGGGGAGAGAAAAGAAGGAAAAGAGACTCAAAGCTTCAGTCAAAATACGTGGTGCAGGGTAGGGGGGGAAGAATGAGGATCCAGAACCAATTTAATCAATGCTTAGGTGGCTCTCAGTTGGGCTGAATGACCCCAGGAAAGTCACATTTTCAGGAATATAGGGTGGCAGTATAGTATAGCAGATAAGACTACAGGCTCTTGGGTCAAATGACAGGGGCTCATATCTGAGATGTGTGACCTTAAGTAAGTTATTTAACCTCTCTGAGCCTTAGGCAATGGAAAATAAGGAAATTAAGAGCATCTACAAGCTGGGTGTAGTGGTGTGTGCCTGTAGTCTCAACTAGGGGTGCTGAGGCGGAAGGATTGCTTAAGCCCAGGAGTTTGAGTCCAGCCTAGGGAAAATAGTGAGACTCATCTCTTAAACAAAAACAAAAACAAAAACAAAAAAAACTGGACTGGGCATGATGGCTTATGCTTGTGATCCCCACATTTTGGGAGGCTGAGGAGATAGGAGGAATGTTTGAGGCCAGGAGTTCAAGACGAGCCCAGGCAACAGAGAGAGACCCCATCCCTTAAAAAAAAAAAAAAAAACCTTGTCCAGGCACAGTGGCTCACGTCTGTAATCCCAATACTTTGGGAGGCCGAGGTGGGCTGATCACTTGAGGCCAGGAATTTGAAACCAGCCTGGCCAATATGGCAAAACTCCGTCTCTTTTGTAAAGATACAAAAATTAGGCCGGGTGCGGTGGCTCAAGCCTGTAATCCCAGCACTTTGAGAGGCTGAGACGGGCGGATCACGAGGTCAGGAGATCAAGACCATCCTGGCTAACATGGTGAAACCCCGTCTCTACTAAAAAAATACAAAAAACTAGCCGGGCGTGGTGGCGGGCACCTGTAGTCCCAGCTACTCAGGAGGCTGAGGCAGGAGAATGGTGTAAACCTGGGAGGCGGAGCTTACAGTGAGCTGAGATCTGGCCACTGCACTCCAGCCTGGGCGACAGAGTGACTCCATCTCAAAAAAACCAAAAAAACAAAAATTAGCTGGGCTTGGTGGCACACACCTGTAATTCCAGCTACTCGGGAGGCTGAGGCACAAGAATCACCTGAACCTGGGAGGCAAAGGTTGCAGTGAACTAAGATCATGCCACTGCATTCCAGCCTGTGACACAGCAAGACTGTCTCCAAAAAATAATAATAACAAGAATAAAATAATCTAAAAATTAAAAAAACCCTAATTCACAGAGTTATGGAATTATTAAACATATTAAATAAGATAATGCACACAAAGTACTTAACAGCATCAGACATATTTTAAGCACTCACTAATGCTTGCTATATAAATTATATAGCTATATGTATGTGTATATGCACACAAAGATCAATAGATATGCTGACATAGAATGACTATGGCAGGGTCCTGAAAGAGATCACGAAAGACAGAAGTTTTCACACTGGTTCTTTCCTTTTGGGGGATGTTGACAGTTTCCCTAGAAGGCAGCAGACTTTGCCTCTGGGAGCAAGCCACTGGTCTGGCCCAACACTCTTGAGACGAGCAGAAACGGGCAGAGGAGAGCTCGAGACAGAACACAGGCCAGACTAATGTCTTCCTGAGAGGAAAGCAGTGGGAGGAAAAAGGGGGCAGCAAAGAAACAAGAGATTGCCTCCTTCACCTCCACCAATGTTACTTAGGCTAAAACCCCTCTGTCTACCAAATCAGCCCTGGTCACAAACTAAAACCCCAAACCCAACAGGAGGCTTACTTATCCATGCCAATCTGAATTTCTCCACGACATGGACCAGGTGGGACTGTGGGTTTGGTGCCATGTACATGACCTACGACTTGGTGGATGGAGTTCCTTAGACCACGGCAGCCTCTGGCTCAAGGGAGCTCAATCTACTGAGTACCTGGACCACATGGGGCTCTAGCAACAGTCCTATCTTGAGCCCAGAACAGTAACTTTCAATAGAATATACACTGGTATGTTGAATCAGAAGTTCAAACTCCCCTCACCTTTATGGTGAGTTTTCTGTCAAGGACTTCCACTGCTTTCTTCTATTATGCCTTTGTATCATTGACCATTCCATCAGTGAGGGCCACCACAGTCCCTCAGAATTATTTAAGACTCACTAGGGGGAGATTAGAGTAGCAATCCTTCTAATCCCTTCAAAAGGTTTCTTTTGAAACCTTTTCAAAAAGTTTCTTCACTTAGCACCCTGGAACCAAATGGAAGTGATTATTTTTGAGATGTGACATCTTCCTCCTGGGCCTTGCCTAGCCAAAAATGTTGTTATCTGTTGCAATTAGAAGACAGCAGAGTGAGAAGTCTCTTTGCTCAAAGTTTCTTTGGCCACTGGAGCAGGGCTTCCCAGAGCAGTAAACGCCTTTAGGATAGGGACTGTTGGAATTAAATGAGCTGGAGAACTACAATCTGGAAACTGGACTTCAGCTTTGCAAACTCGGAAACTCATTATCACTGTGATGGTTAATTTGATGTGTTAACTTGAGTGGGCCATAGGTGCCCAGATTAAATGTTGTTCTGGGTGTGTCCATGAGGATGTTTCCAGACGAGAATAGCATTTGAATTGGTAGACTCAGCAATGTAGACTGACCTCCTCAGTGTGGTTGGGCATTGAAAAGGCAGAGGAAAGAATTTGCCCCTCTTTTCCTGCCTCACTATTGAGCTGGGATATCTCATTTCACCTTCTCCTGCCCTCAAACTGAGATTTACATCATCAGCTCCCCTGGTTCTCAGGCCTTTGGACTTGGTCCGAACTGCATCACTGACTTTCCTCCATCTCCAGCTTGCAGACACAGATTATTCGACTTCTCAACCTCCATAATCATGTGAGCTAACTACTCATGATAAATAAATAAGTAGGCTGGGCGCAGTGGCTCACGCCTGTAATCCCAGCACTTTGGGAGGCCGAGGCAGGCGGATCATGAGGTCAGGAGTTCGAGACCAGCCTGGCCAATATGGTGAAACCGTCTCTACTAAAAATACAAAAATTAGCCAGGCGTGGTGGTGCGCACCTGTAGTCCCAGCTACTCAGAAGGCTGAAGCAGAAGAATCACTTGAACCTGGGAGGCGGAGGTTGCAGTGAGCCAAAATCGCGTCACTGCACTCCAGCCTGGGCAACAGAGTGAGACTCCAACTCAAAAATATACAAATAAATAAATAATTATATATATTGGCATATATATACACACATACATATATATAGAGAGAGAGAGACAAAGAAACAGAACCAGAAGTATATATATATATTTGCACACAATAGGATATATATATATGTGTGTGTGTATATATATCCTCTTGGTTCTGTTTCTCTGGAGAACCCTGACTATTCCTGGTGATTTAGTCAAAATAACTGACCTCATAAAAGGCAGATACATAAGCCAGTATTAACTACCAAGTGGAGAAGAATAGTTATAAACACAGGCCAGGGAATTCTCTCCTATATCGAAATCTATTCAGAAGCCAAATAAAAAGAAGATTGCATAATAAATACAGAATAAGAACAAAGGGAGGTAGCTAGAGCTAAGGGATATTTTATCTGTGTCCTGCTGAGACCAGAAAAAATATCCTTGCCCCATGAGAGTGCAAACCTCGTTACTAAAATATTTATACCCACCAGGTCTTCAGTGCTGACTATACATCAGATTCTTGCCCTCTGAATTCCCCCATGTCCCCTCTCTCATATTCTCTCTTCAGCCTGTACAATTAAAGAGTTAACCATTCTTAATTACAGTCACATTCCAAGCACGTCTTCTCCAACTTACACACCCAAATCAGGTGACTAGTATGAACCATTCTCACATGCAAGACACATTTATTGATAATCTTTAGTTCCATGGAAGGTTCAATTCATCTGCTTACTTTATTTCCAAGCTTTTGGAGGGACCCTCACTCCTCTTTGCAGTCTTCCTTTATTTATTCATTTATTTATTTATTTGAGATGGAGTCTCACTCTGTGGCTCAGGCACAATCTCGGCTCACTGCAACCTCCACCTCCCAGGTTCAAGCAATTCTCCTGCCTCCGCCTCCTGAGTAGCTGGGATTACAGGCACCACGCAGGGCTAAATTTTGTATTTTTAGTAGAAACTTTGTTTCAACATGGTAGTCAGGCTGGTCTCAACCTCCTGACCTCGTGATCTGCCCGCCTGGGCCTCCCAAAGTGCTGGGATTACAGGCATGTGCCACTGTGCCCAGCCTCTTCCATTATTTATGACATTGACTTTTCTGTAAAATAAATATACACATATTTTAAAATCAATTACAAACGTACAGAATGGAGAGGAGCACTTTAACAGCCATCACATGATTGGGATTTTGTTGACAGTAAACTAAAAGCTTTTTTTTTTTTGATAGTGTCTCACTCTGTCACTACAGTGCAGTGGCATGATCACAGCTCCCTATGGGCTAGACCTCCTAGGCTCAAGCAATCTTCCCGCCTCGGTTTCCTGAATAGCTAGGGCTACAAGTGCGTGCCACTATGCCTGGCCTGGTCCCCATAAGTCCCCTCTTCTCCGAGCCAAACATCTTCACACCTTCCGGTGATCATTAGTGGAGAGGCCTGTGAGAGGTCAATGTCCCTGAAATCGAGGGCTCCAAATTGGTCATGGCTTTCTTCAGATGGCCCAAACAGCTTGTTTCATTTCACAAACATTTATTGAGCCTCTACTACATTCCAGGCACTGTGGTTATTATAAATCACTGAGACATTGTTTGCCCTAAAGAAGCTACGTGTATTTAGTAACAGCTTCACAATACGTGACGAATAAGATAGCACTAATCCACATTTGACAGCAAAAGTACCAAAAAAGAAAGAAAGAAAAAGAAGAGAGAGAAAGAAAAGAAAAGAGGTTAAAGAGGGCGGATGCGGTGGTGTAATCTTAGCACTTTGGGAGGCCGAGGTGGGCGGATCACGAGGTCAGCAGTTCGATCCAGCCTGATCAACATGGCGAAACCCCGTTTCTACTAAAAATATACAAAATTTAGCGGGACCTGGGGGCGCGCGCCTGTAATCCCAGCTACTCAGGAGGTTGAGGCAGGAGAATCGCTTGAACCCGGGAGGCGGAGGTTGCAGTGAGCGGATATCGCGCCGCTGCACTCCAGCCTGGGCGATAGAGCCAGACTCCGTCTCAAAAAGAAAAAGAAAAAGAAAAAGAAAGAAAAAGAAAAAGAAAAGGAAAAAGAAAAAGGAAGGAAGGAAAGAAGGAAGGGAGGGAGGCAGGGAGGGAGGCAAGGCGCGAAGGAGAGAAGAAAAGGAAAGGGAAGGGAAGGGAAGGCGGAAGGGAAGCCGGAAGGGAAGGGAAGTATAGGAAGTATAGGGAGTATCGCGTTGATATCAGGCCACGGAACCTCTGGTGACCGGGTAGTGTAACTCCGTCATTGGTAGCTCCCCGCCCACATAGCCGCGACCCGCGGCCTTCGAGGACATGGACTGGGCCAGTCTTGCCCCGTCGCGGCCAATGCCCCAACCACACGCAGTCCACAGGAGTCCTGGCTCCCATTGGCTGCAACGGGAAACGGTGAACCAATCCTCATAGGCCTTAACGCCCTCCTCTCGGGGTCACTTCCGCCTCTGGGGTCAGGCTCCGCCCAGCTTGCCCGGCATCACTCGCGGCGTTGGAGTCAACATGGAGGAGTACGCGCGAGAGCCTTGGTGAGCCTCACCGCTGTCTTTGCATTTCTCTTGCCCGCCTGCCCACTGCCCTCCTTCTCCCCTGTCCATGCTCCCAAGGTGCAAGCCAGACTCAACCGCAGCCTTGTCGACTTGGGCCTGGTAACTGTGGGCAGTGCAGTCTTTCACGGCCAGTCGGCTTCTTAGCCCTGTACCCACTACCTTCCCGGCCTCGTGAGCCTCGCTCTCCCAACCCAGCACCCGTGTGATCCTGTGGTGGATGGTAGAGAGGTCCAGACTTGAGTTTGATAGAACCTCGGAACCTCCTCCCAACGCAGGGCATAATCGACCTTATGCGGGGCCAGTTATAATCCCCTCTGTTCGCCGAGGTGACCTTGGGCGCGTCCCTCCGTCTCGCCTTGCTCGGTTCCTGCGTTGAAGAACTGAAGAATAAGCATTTGAGGGAGTGTCATTCTTGAGGTTTTACTTGTATCATGATAGGTGTCCGCAGAGCAAAGCATTTTAAATGAATGGAACATAGATTTTAGGCAAGGGGTCTGGATAAGCTGCTTTAGACAGTGGGGCCATGTTTTTCTCCTTGGAATCCTTTCTTGTGGGTAGAGGGGGACAAAAATTACCTGGGAAATAGGAAGAGGTAATAGCATGTGTTCTCCGAAAAGCCATGGACAGAAATTCATTCTTTCATCCAGCGTTTATTGAGTGTGAATAAACCAGACACATAGATAATTATAAAACGATGTAATTGCTGTCAGAAGTCTCAGGTTGCGAGAGTTTAAAGTTTCTGGGGTCATAAGTAAAAAATCAAATCTTGATATTTCGATTAATCATTTGTTTTATTGTGTGAGAGCAGCAACCAAGATGTCCTCAATTTGTGAAAGTGCCCAGGATCTTGAATTATTACTCTGTTATCCCAGCCTTGAATTATTACTCTGCTTTCCTAGCCTTGTTGCCTGTTTCGTGTTCCCTTCTCTCCTAAATGGCATACAAAATGTAAGTTTTAGGGTCTCCTGGCTCTTCAAATTTATCTTCTTCAAAGCAGTTATCCTCCATTCTGGATTGTGCTCAGATATGTAGGACTCAGCACACTGTAAATAGCTGTTTGATGTAGTATAATGACACAGGTTAGCAGAGGATTAAAATATTTAACTATGTTGAGTTAGAGATCTTAGAAAAATAAGGCCAGGCGTGGTGGATTACACCTGTAATCCCAGCACTTTGGAAGGCCGAGGCGGATCACGAGGTCAGGAGTTTGAGACCAGCCTGGCCTATATGGTGAAACCCCGTCTGTACTAAAAATACAATTATTTGCCGGGTGTGGTGGCGCACGCCTGTAGTCCCAGCTACTCGGGAGGCTGAGGCAGGAGAATCGCTTGAACCCGGGAGACAGGTTTCAGTGAGCCAAGATCGTGCTGTTGCACTCCAGCCTGGGTGATAGAGTGAGACTCCATCTCAAAAAAAAAAAAAATTCTTAGAAAAATACTGGGTTTTCATTTAGTAAATCATTAGGTAACCCCTTAACATTCAGTACGTATGTCCTGAAACAATATAATCAGTTACCTGGTTAGCTTTGTAGTCAAAACTGCTTTGATTTTTTGACTGCCCTGTTTGGTTATAGCACTTCCTCAAGTCATTTTATAGGCCAAATATTTATTGGTTGCAGTGGGTCCTGCAATATAATCTGTTCCATTATAATCCTTACTGTATTAGCAAAGATTTTATGGTTTGTGAATGAGAAATGTGGTCTTTTTTTTCCCCCTCTGTTCTTAGCCCATGGCGAATTGTGGATGACTGTGGTGGGGCCTTTACGATGGGTACCATTGGTGGTGGTATCTTTCAAGCAATCAAAGGTTTTCGCAATTCTCCAGTGGTAAGTGGGTGAATGGTCTTATTTTATCATCACTTGAAGTGTGGGTTTGATATTACTGGTGGTCCCATCAGTGGCTTAGGAATGTGCTTCTAATATATTTTTTGTTGCTTCTTTTTTTTTGTTATAGGGAGTAAACCACAGACTACGGGGGAGTTTGACAGCTATTAAAACCAGGGCTCCACAGTTAGGAGGTGAGCAGAATTTTCATTTTAAGTGAACTGTTTTTTTCTGTTTATTTGAAGATGGAGCTATTTTTATTTTTAGATTATAACAATTAATGATTTTAGTTTGGTCTAACAGTTTGTCACAAACATATATCCCTATAGTTTCTTCTTGATTTTTAGTTTGTTTGAAAAATTAACCTGAATTATGATAGCCATTTGAAAATCTTGTCTCTGTCCTTCAGATACTCTGTGATTTTTTTTCCCCCTTCTCCAGAAGAAAGTGTGTTTAAAGCTCAGGTTTGAGGCTGGGCATGGGTCGTAATCCCAGCACTTTGGGAGGCCAAGGTAGGCGGATCACCTGAGGTCGGGAGTTCGAGACCAGCCTGACCAACATGGAGAAACCCCATCTCTACTAAAAATACAAAATTAGCTGGGCATGGTGGCGCATACCTGTAATCCCAGCTACTCAGGAGACTGAGGCAGGAGAATCACTTGAACCCGGGAGGCAGAGGATGCAGTGAGCCAAGATCACGCCATTGCACTCCAGCCTGGGCAACAAGAGCGAAACTCTGTCTCAAAAAAAAAGCTCCATCCTGGCTAACACGGTGAAACCCTGTCTCTACTAAAAAATACAAAAAATTAGCCGGGCGAGGTGGCGGGCGCCTGTAGTCCCAGCTACTCCGGAGGCTGAGGCAGGAGAATGGCGTGAACCTGGGAGGCGGAGCTTGCAGTGAGCTGAGATCCGGCCACTGTACTCCAGCCTGGGCGACAGAGCGAGACTCTGTCTCAAAAAAAAAAAAAAAAACCTTAGGTTTGTGAGTCAGGAACGATAGCTTCTGAGGTAACATAAAGCTGAAGAGAATTTGATCTGAAGGATTGGGGTTTCATGCAGGAGAAAACCAATCAAGCTGACTGGGCTGTTCTCCAAGGTTAGTTTTGGGACATTGTGCAGAGGTCATTGCAAAATTTGAAAAGATTCTATTCATTGTACTTTGTAAACTTGGTTATTCAGAAGCTGGGAAAAGGGAGGTGACAAAAAATGTTCGTAGATTATATTCACTTACAAAGGTATAGTCAGGGCTGGGTGCAATGGCTCATGCCAGTAATCCCAGCACTTTGGGAGGCTGAGTTGATCTGATAGCTTGAGCTCGAGAGTTGGAGACCAGCCTGGGCAGCATGGCTGCCCATTTCCCCAGAAAAATGCAAAAATTAGCCAGGCGTTGCAGCATGTGCCTGTGGTCCCAGCTACTGGGGAGGCTGACAGGGACAGATCAGTTGAACCTGGGAGGTTGAGGCTGCAGTGAGATTG